TTATATACTATATGTTATATGTTATATATTATATACTATATGTTATATGTTATATGTTATATGTTATATGTTATATACTATATGTTATATATTATATAGTATATGTTATATACTATATGTTATATTATATACTATATGTTATATACTATATATTATATACTATATGTTATATACTATATTATTTTTTTTTATTTTTTTTAGAAAACGTATTACATGAATACGTTTTCTAATATTTACTTTTTTTGAAAAACGTATTTGGTAAATACGTTTTTAACTGTTATATGAAAAAAAAAAATTTTGTTTTTTCTATTGTTTTACCATTTAAAACCTGTTACAAATATTTAGAACAACCAACTACACCAAAAATACACAAACAAATCAACTCATATACAGTCCAACATAATAAAATATATCATCCAAACATAGTCCAACAAATCAAAGTAAACAATAAAAAAAAATAGTCCATCATAAAAAAAATAAACACTACCAAATCGAATTTCTCCACTCATCACGGAGTCTAGATCTATCAGTGCGAGGATGCTAGGACGGACAGTCGTCCACAAAATGCTCTCGATTACCATATCTACTACACTGTCCTCTATCATTCCGGCGGCGTGCCCGACGATCCATTTGCATGCAATGACGCTATCCGACCAACGGCCATGTGTCTGGATCGCCAATCGGAGCAAAACTCCAATTAGAAAATTGAGCCACCCAGTTCTCCGTCCAAAAGTGGGGATCGTACAAGAACTTTGGTGGAGCTTTTATTTCACGACACACAGCTATAGAATGAGAGCATGGTTTCCTGTGTGTCTGCCACTTCAGACAACTACAACGCATCCGGTCGTAAGAAACCTTATACCTGTTTTTCCATATTTAATTATATTTATAAACAACTAAAAATTTTAATGAACCAAAATAAAAAAAAAATAAAATTTATACAATAAATAAATAAATCATATACCTTTTGTTTCCTCTACCATGACCCCGTAGACCGATTGTCACCTTGTACAGGGATTTCTCTGCATTCGAACATCGCACCTCATGAGTTGCGGCCGTAGTCTCCGATTCGCAATAAGCGGCATAGTGGGCACTAGCAATGGCATTACTGCATCTTGTGGACTTCTTTTGTTCCTGCTCAAACAAGTCCAGAGTTTTCATGAATGTGGCGTGTACCAAAGCTCGGCAGGGCAAGAAGCTAACACCTTTCAGGACGTTGTTGTAACTCTCGAACATGTTGGTTGTCAAAGTACCCCATCTACGTCCTCCGTCTCCAAACAAGGCACACTTGTCCAGAGGAATTCCGAACAGGTAATCGTATGCGTCCGGATTAAAATTCGAAAGCCGCGATCATATCTGTTCAAATTTTTTCTCTGAAACCTGTGAACCCAACTCCCAACACCAATTTCGGATTTTGTTATTCCTGAACCTAGTAACCACGTTGCTCCGAAGGTGTCGAAGACAAATCCGGTGATATGCAACGGGTTCTTGCCAAGCTTCCAATGATTCCACGGCACTCTGTAAGCCCGCATCCCTGTCTGAAAGAAAGCATATCTGTCTGTCGCCGACAACATGTTGCCAGAGATTTGTCAGGAAAAATGACCAGCTTTCCTGGCTCTCTTCATCCACAATCGTATAGGCGAATGGCAATAGCCGCTTATTCGCAGTCTGTGCAACGACCACAAGCAACTTCTCCTTGTACGAGCCACGCAAATGTGTGCCATCCATGCTAATTACCGGCGGGCATCTCTGGAAGGTCTGAATGGCGGGACCAAACGCCCAGAAAACAAATTTAAATTCTCTGTGCTGATAGTGGGCCGCCATTTCCCCACCCTGCCATTCCCACTCTACAACCGTAGTGGGATTCGTTCTTTGAAGCGCCGCAAAAAACATGCACGTTACAAAACGTAATCGTCAATACATAAACATAGTGACCAATAACACGTACATTTTTTATATTTTTTTTTTACTGAGGGAGTTGTGCGAAGTGATTCCCAAGTGCCGTACAAACGATCGATGACCTTTTTTCTCCCGTGCTATGCCTTCTTGTAGCTCACATCGACTTTCCAACATTTTTTAACATCCTCCTGGATCAGGGTAACACTGTAGTCGGGTTTCTTTTGAATCTTGGTCATGACAAGATTTGAGATCATTGTGGCGGTTACATTTCTGTGGTCATTTTTTCGACTTCTTGCATACAACTGTGCCTCTCAGTCCATTCTCTTACTTCCCACAGTTCATGAACCCGTGTGCAGTGCGTCACCCGAGCCCTCCACGGATAGTCATGATACCCATCTGTGCTTCTTCTTTGGACCGGAAAACAGTACCCAAACGGATAGTCTCGACATGCCCATCCCACACTGACAAGGCATACTCATCCCGATCTACACACGCCGGGTCCCACTCACCCATCTCGCGATACACGTGCTGACCGACTGGGAAATGGGTGTTCTTCAATAAATTCTGGTTCACTCTCCTCGTTTATTGATCTATCCGATTCTGTTTCCGAGGTACCATATGTGAAATCGTCTTCACCGCAAATGAAATCATCATCACTTTCTTCCTTATTATCGCATTCTCTAACTGTTGAGTTTGTCCCTTCGCCAAAATTACGAACATGCGAAGTGGACGTCGGGTTGGTTAGTCAGTAAACTAATCTCCTCAATTATCCAACCATCTCGACGAGACCCAAAATTTTCATAAAGAATATCTACCAATGTTTCAATGATATCTTCTCTCCAATGCTAAATGAACCATTCGGAGAGTTTTTAAAATCTGAAAAATAATATAACAACTCCTTGGGATGATTCCAATACACATTAACAAAGTATGGTCCGGTAGACGCCATTTATACCTGTTGCAAAAAACAATTCTTCCCAATTACAACAACACATACTTTCTAACCCAACACCCGAAAAATTCAATTATTCTTTTATCATTCCCACAACCAAAAAAATAAAATTCATCAATAACATATAATACACTTTCAATTCTTCCCAATTACAACAACACATAATTTCCCAAAAAAATCAATTATTCTTTTACTCAAATCAAGATAAATATTTTCAATTAATACTACAATAACAAAAAAAAAATCACCAATTCTTTTATAAAATAACTCTCCAAAACCCTAATTCT